CTAACTTATGTGAGGCCCCAATTTAAGGTTCGCACAGGGCCTTTAAAATCTCAAGACCGGCCTTGGTTTACATCAATTGTTTTATGTTCCTTTTTGAATGTTTCGTTTTGGTTTTTTTTCTTCTTCTTCTTGACGTTGTTTCTGTTGCTGTGAACTTACGACACTAGCTTCCCCATGATTTTTTTTAGACTCTTAACGTGGACTCTATACTTCCTTCTTAACGTTGAAACTTTCAAATGAATCAAAGAGAGAAGTGGGGCTCGGTTGACTTAAGAAACAAAAGGTGCGAAAATTCTGTGGTGCATCGGCTGTACCGGTCATCCAAGGGCTCATATTTCATTTTTAAAATGAAGGGCTGAGATTGAATGATGACTTGTTTAGCCATTTTTATTAAGGAGCACGTGAAATACACGTGACTTAGAAAACAAAGAATAACCCCTCGCATGCACTGGTCACTAGAGATCGAAAGCTATGGAAGGCCACGACGACGACGTTTCAATAGAGGACGCAGTCGACGTTACAAAGAATAACCCCTCCCATATTGTACATAAGTTAACTTTGGGGAAATGTAGTCTGTTAAAAAAATTATGAGTCTACAATCGTACTTGTCATCAATCATACGGGTCTAGGAGGGTCTTGCAGTCCACATCCTGTCTAAGCTTGGCGAATGACATTGTTCCAGAAGTGCATTTGAAAAATCATATTGTTGTGAATGTAGAAGATATAGAGTTCCCTTTATTTGAGTTTTTATTTGAGGTTTCATATACTTCACAATTGAGGAATCAGATGTTTAAGTTGCTCAGGCTCTTCCATAGTTCTCTTTTGTTCCGTCAATCACATTCTTGACACATTATAATTATGTGGTAGTTTCGTTTAGGACATTGCTTGGCTCCCCATTACACGTGGATCACAGTCTGACACATTTAAAAGTAACTTATTAAAATTTCGAAAGTAAGTTTTCGCACACGTGTAAGATTTTGATTTGTCTATAAGGAGAAATGACTCTTTACATCCAAGGAGCCAAGTATTTTCCTTTTGTTTATTAACAATTGGGTATGACAATTGATTTAACAAGTGAATGTGCATACATATATATAATGCGGTCCATAAGTGCAAAAGGTGATTTAAAAATATGGGTTTTTAAAATAACTCAAAAGAAAAGAAACAACATAATAGAAAAGTCTATAAGATTACAAATTATTATTTATTTGATAGAAATAAGATTGTACATTATTCTTTACTAGCCTTTTCGCACGCACTTGAGAGAGTTTTTTTTAAAAAAAATTTAAATTTTAGTTTAGAATTAAAAAAGATAATGGGTAGTTGTTTTCCATAAAAATAGGATCCAATATCCGATTTTTCTTTTAATTTTAATTTTTTTTAAATATGAAAATGTGTGAATTTACCATATTATCCTCATTTAATTAATAATTTCAATTCTTAATGTTTGCATTAATCAAGTGCATTTTCTGGTATTTTGAATGTTTCACCATTCTATGCCTTTTGCTTTATATATATAGATTATTTTATTAATAAAGTTCTAGCATTCGAAAACCAATTTAGTTGGTTTTTTCTTCTTGATGAGTAGCAGATTAATACAGGGGAAAAGGGACATGCTTATTACCACCGCAATAGCCACGAGCTGCTCCAGCAGTCTTGCCATATTTTTGCCAGCACAAATTATTGCAAGGCTTCTCTTGGCAATTAGGCATGTACTCCATCTTCCCACAAGCACTAGGATTCTCTGCATTTCCTCTATCCCCTCATCTCTTTCTTGAATTATTATACGACATGGTTCACATCCCCTCGTCTTATTGCAATTATTTTCTGACTGGGAATCAAGGGGGAGCTAGCATGGGACCAGTGTGGTCCCAAGCCTTCACTCCATTTTTTCCTCTTCTATTGGTATATATGATATAAAATATTATAATATATTAGATAAGTTTTAGGATATTTATCTTAAAATAAAATAATATATTAGATTCTTTTAGTCTACAAATTAACCATAAAATTTCTTGATCTTTCTCCTACTCATCTTCCTTAAATCTTCTAGGTTAGTTTATGACATTTGCACTAAAAACTCCTAAAGTTTTAACCTTTCTTTCTTTTCCTTTTTTTTTTTTTTGATGAATCCAAGGTATCCCCCGCACATAGGCGAGGACTAATCCCTCAAGCCGGGTCGGACCCCATTCGGGGGGCAAGCTCTCCCAATGATGGCTGCTCCATTCACAAGGCTCGAACTCGAAACCTTGCTTAAGTCTTTCTTTTCCTTTTTTGTTTAAAGCTTTATGAATTTTTTATTATTCTCTTTTTTTTTAATGCATGAAATGGGTACCTTAATATTGTGCTTTATGAACTCTTAATTTCTATATTTTTTCTCTATTGGAATATAAATTATTAATTTTTAAGTCTTTAATAGTGTAGATGATGAAATTATTATTTAACCAATTTAAAATATGAAATTCATGATATTATGAAGAGAAGACAAGTTTTATAAAGGCCCCCTCTAATGTGAAATCCTGGCTACGCCACTGCTGGAATAATCATTTACCTTACACCATATTTTCCTACATCTTATCATGATTTGTTTTCATTATTTTCTAAAGTCTATTTAAGAAGAGTTAGGATTTCCAACCAAATACACCATCTTCTTCATTCTCATCATTTTGCTTCAAAATTAAAGCTGTCAATGGCTTCACGAAGCAAGGCATTACAAATGCTTTTAGATTCTGATTCTGATGAGGACAATCATCAACAAAGAGTGGCAATCTCCATTGCTCACCATACATCATCGATGAATGAACATGGTAATAGGCGAAGCAAATCATTGCAAGGCTTCTCTTGGCAATTACGCATGTACTCCATCTTCCCACAAGCACGAGTTGATTGTGCCACTTCTTCATCTCCTGCACCACTCAATATATTCAACAAACACATTTATGTTTTCACTCATATATCTTTAAAAAGCAACAAAATTATCAACAATCAATACAAATTTCTACTCTGAATTTTCAGCCACAAGTGGCCTTTTCAATTTCTTTGTTTTTCTAGAAATATTCCCAAGCAATATATTAAAGACTAACGACCAATATTTTTTGCTGTTTTCTTTTTATTAAATGTTACAATATAGTTTATATATTTTTTATATGTGTTGTTCTCTTATTTGATAAGTATAAAAGATATGAACTTGTAGGCACGGAACTAGGATTCAAAAATAACTAGGGCTAGCTAACTTTTAAGTCAATTTTTCAAGGCTTATTTACTGTAGTATCCCCTGAAACTTCGGTTAAATCTCACCTTAACTTTGATTTTATGTTTATCTTCATTAATCATTTTGTCAGTTTTGATGACGTGACATGGCTATTTAGCCTTTTTACCACATATAATGATGTGTCATGTGAAGGGCCCACTTTGTTCTTTGTTTAAATTGAATTAAATATAAAATAAAATAATAAAATAATGTAATTACTTGTTTAATTTTATATATATATATATATATACAGTTATTCTCTTATCCGGATGTCCGCACGTTATTATCGTGCGGATCCTATTGTAAACAGGCAGGAAAACAGAGAGGGGTAGTACAAAATACACTGCGTCCGCACGATAATAACGTCCGGATGTCCGCATAAGAGAATTTCTGTATATATATATAAATGGAAAAATTAATAAATAAAAATTTTGGTTGACAAAAATAAAAAAAAGGAAAAAAAAAAGAGTTCTTCCAATATAGACCTTTACAACTACTATATCCTAGTCATGTACCCATCTACTTTTAAATCTTTACTAAAAGCCCAAATTTAAAATAGGTTGCCATGTGAGATAGATTTGTCCTAATATTATTCACTAAATTACATTATATGCCACCTACCTTCATATTTAATTTATAATTTATTTTCAAGCATGTGCCAATCCCTATAATAAACCAACAAAAAATCCCTAAATTACATATCCAATAAATAATTTCCCTATAAAAAAATTATAAATATGTATATAATATAGGTAATTTATTTATATAAAAAAGGATCCGTTACTTTGTAATTAAAATTTCTATAAATATTTTTATAAATTAAAAATAGGTACATTATTTACACACACACACACACACAAAAAAGGTTTTTTTTATGTCAGAAAATATGTATGTTGTGTAATTGAAATTTCTGCACATTTTTCATAAATTAAAAATAGGTACATTTTTTATTTAGAAAAATAGGTATGTTATTTATAGGTACACAAAATAGGTATATTTACAAAAGATATGTTATTTATAGGTACACGTATGTTATTTATAGGTACACAAAATAGGTATATTTACAAAAGATATGTTATTTATAGGTACACAAAGTAGTTATATTTATAAAAGATATGTAAAAAATAGGTATATTATTCATAAAAAGGGTGGAAAAAATAGGTACATTATTTTATGCTAAAACATGATAGGTATATTAATGTTTCCTCATAAATTTAATAAGCCCTAAACGTGACATTTTTAGATACTGAATATTTTTATTTTTTTTAAGAGAAAAAAAAATTACCTTAAAAATTCCTAAATTTAAGTCAATTTAAAACACCATTTCCGTATCTAAAAACACACCCTTTGAATATGAATGACATTGAATTGCAGCAAATATGTTCAAAGTATATTCAGCATAGTCAATGGAGGAAACAACAATTGCAATTACGTAGGAGTATTTTGGGAATCAGAAAATTACAATAAACCAAATCTTGAGCTTCATAAGGTAACTTGATGAGGTGGATCCTTGTCATGGATTTTTTACTTATAAATTATTAATAGGAACAAAAAGTGATGGATTGCAGTTAAGGAAAATTCAATTTGGAGGAGGATACTTGGTATGTATAGTAATAATAATGCCTCATAGTACCATACAATAATTTCTCTGAGGTCAGATGCTTGCTTATGTTAACTTTATGCATTGTAGTGTTTATTTTAAAAAATATATAGTTCTAATTAAATTTTCATTTATTAGCTCAAATTGTGACACTAAATGATATGATATATTTTGGTGCAGAACACTGAGATACATGTCTTAGAGCGGAATATTACAGTGGTAACGGCACAACAAAGGGATGCTTTGGAGGATAATGGATTTTCATTTGTGCATTGCAAAATAACTGGCACTACACATGTGAGGAGTACATACTTGGGCAGGGCTTGGGGGAGCAGCCCCAGTGTGGTGTTTGCCTACACCGACATGGCCAACGTTGTCCATCCTGAACGATGGAACGACTTTGGCCACCCTGAACGTTCCAAGTAAGTTATATATTTTCATTATTTTTCTAAAATGTTTTCTTATACTTGGATCCTTTTTTTTTAATTATTTACATATATATGTGGTAATTTTTGTAGCAATATGTTCTATGGAGAGTTTCAGAATTCGGGTCCAGGGTCAAACATAAGCGGGCAAGCACGCTACACCAAAAAGCTAAGTGATGCAGAAGCCAAATCTTTCCTCAGCCTTGGCTATATTCAGGGTTCCAAATGGCTTCTTCCTCATCTAAATACAAGATCCAGACATAGTATAGTTTAAGAATAGGAAATATATACATACATTTATAATTTCCATATTTCTTAGGTGAGATTGAGCAAAGAGCGCTGCCAATCCTATACGTATATACAATACATGCACACAAGCAAATATGTACATCTCATATACGTATTCACCTACGAAAAAAAACTAATGTAGTTAAATAGTTTGCTCTGAAACTTCCCGTTTATGGTTTTGAATTTATAGCCATGGAAATTTTATATATAAGATGAACATGTTCACATTATTTTACAAGTTGACGTTATTTCTTCATCTAGAATGTGCACAAGAATTCCTAATTTATTTGTAAGGTTTCTAGTTAAAATCTACACAATAACTTCCTTTGGGCCAGCCATTAGAAGTCGATTGATACAATGGCGGAACCAGGAATTTTTTTAGGGGGGGGCTTTTTCTTTTTCTTTTTCTTATGGGAGATATGTTATATTACATATTTTTCTTAAAACAATCAAGTTCATTCACATACCAAACAAATATAATGATATACTATTATATTCCTTTCCTTTTTAAAAAAAATCTTGTTGTAATGGTGTTTTTGTCTTACTTTATTCTTTTGTGTGGGCTTAGAAAAACAAAAGTATTGTGTTGTGCTAATGGGCTAACATTGAATTATAGTATGTTTGTTTATATATTAAAGCTTAAACTGAAAATTTAGCCCCATGCTACAACCCATGGGAGCCTCTTGCTAGTTCCGCCACTGATTGCAAGTCTCTGTCGGGTAAGAATTCTATAGTGAGGGCCTTATCTAAGGCCTTAAATGAGGTCCTATCCTTTAACCGTTGGATCAAATTAGTTAGCTGTTTGATCACATTAATTAGTTTGATCTAACGGTTATGAGATTGTGCCTCATCTGAAGGCCCTCACTATAGAATGACTCCTCTCTTGAGTGGCTTCCTAGAAGGGCCATGTCCATGCAACAATATTAAAAACCTTCAATTTTTGGAGCCCATTACACGTCAATTTTGTCTCTCCTCTTTGTTGCCTTTTTTTCTGTTTGGTTTGATCTGAACGCGTCAAATTTGTCCTCCTTGGTTTCACATTTCTAGTTTCCTTTCTTCACATACTAGTTTTCTTTCTTTCTGTCTGTGCGGTTCCTTTTTCTTTTTCTTCTTGGAGATACTGTTCCACAAAGAGTTTAGCGACGTTTTTAGTCAAGTTCATTTTGTGATATTTACCCAAACAATTAGACAAGTCGTCTCTCTCGCACAATTAATAAACACTTGTTGACCATAAAATGAAGTTCCCATTGACTGGTGCACTTCAAAACTTCCTAGTACCTCACACAATCCAGGGGCTGTGTTTGTGGTAAATATCAAAGTTGATAGGGCAACAGTTGGGTTTCCTCCCAAATTTAACCCTCTTCACAATCTATAAAACGGGGAAGTTTTGCCACACAAAAAGCAACAAAGAAAAGAAAAAGAAGCAAAAAAAAAAAAAAAGAAATCATGAAGGCTGCAGGCTCATTGGGTGTGATTGTATGCTTGTTCTTGGTGGTGGTTGGTGTTTTGGTTGAGGTGGTTCCAATGGCAGAAGAAGAAGTAAAAAAATAATATTTTTACCATTCTCTATCTTTTGCTTTATATATCTATATATATATAGCAAAAGGCAGAGAATGGTGAAACATTCAAAATACCAGCAAATGCCCTTAGTTAATGCAAACATTAAGAATTGAAATTATTAATTAAATGAGGATAATATGGTAAATTCACACTTTCTCATATTTAAAAAAATTAAAATTAAAAGAAAAATTAGATAATGGATACTATTTTTATGGAACACAACTATCCATTATCTTTTTTAATTCTAAAATAAATTAAAATTTTTATGAAGCCAAATGATTGCACTTAGATAATTGAAACTAGCCTCTCTGCACGCGCTTCCGCGCCTGCGAGAGGCTTTTTTTAAAAAAATTAAAATTTATTTTAGAATTAAAAAGGATAATGGGTAGTTGTGTTCCATACAAATAAGCCATTATCTGATTTTTCTTTTAATTTTAATTTTTTAAAATATGAAAAAGTGTGAATTTACCATATTATCCTCATTTAATTAATAATTTCAATTCTTAATGTTTGCATTAACCAAGGGTATTTTCTGGTATTTTGAATGTTTCACCATTCTCTGCCTTTTGCTTTATATATATAGATAAATTTATTTAGTTTTCTTATTTTATTGGAATAATTTTCAATGACTTTATTGCCTGGACTGAAACTTAAGACGCTATATAAAATAACGATACTGGGCTTGGATATTAGAGGATCATATTTTTCATATATATCGAATTGGTCAAGGAATTGACCCTACAGTCCAAGTCCTCAAGTCAAGGAATTGACCATCATTTTCTTTTTTTGGTGTAAAAGATATAGGCCATCTTGGATATATGCATGCATAGTTAATGCTCTACTTTTTTTTATTTTTTCGGGTGCTAATTTTTCCACTCCTTTTTTATCCACTTATACTCTTTTCTAATTTTCTCACTCCCCTTTTGTCCACTTACACTCCCTTTTAATGATAATTACAAAAGTATCAAAAAGCAAAATGGTGTAAGTGTTAGTACCTTTTTTTTTTTGTGTTAATGTATAATAGAGCCAATGAAGAGGGATAGATTCTGCTAAGTAATGTTCCATTATATTATTTTTTCACTTTTCTTCAATATAAAATATTAGAGGAAAGGGGATTCTAATACATAACTTTTAGGTGTAAGAATAAATGTTCTTAACAACTTGAGCTACCAGTTTAATCCCTTGTTACTTGATGAGCACCAAATTTCTTCTTACAAGGGAAAACACACATACATAAATCCCCCTTGCAATACCCTTGAGCTGTTGTTCCAACACTTCTGGCATATTTTTCCAAGCACAAGTCACCGCAATTTTTCTCAACGCAATTGGGCATATTCTCTACCCTCCCGCAAGCATGACCTGTATAGTCCGCCACAGCCTCATCTCCTGCAGATTCAACACATTTTATGGTTTGAGTCATATCTTAAAGCAACAAAAACAGTATTATACAATGTAAAGGTTCCTAAGAAATATGTCATTTGAGAAAATTCTATGAAAAAAGAGATTAATTCTTGTACACATTTTCTTCTTTGACAATATTATGCCTCTTTAGCAGCAAGAAGTTTGTTTAATATGAAACCTCGACCACACATTTTGTCTAGAACTAATCTAGTTAATCGATGATCTAGATTCATAGTCTAGCAATATAAATATTTTATATTGCGAGACACTGACAAGAAAACATTTCCATGTTTCGAACAAAAAAAAAAAAAAAAGTATTTCCATGTATATAAATATAGCATGAAGAAGCATTATTTACCAATAGTACTGAAGAAGAGAACCAACAGAAGCATGGAAGAGACGTGGAGGCTCTTCATGGTTTTATCTCTCTAGCTATTTTGAAGAATTTGGATTATGCATATATCTGAGGGAGGCGATCTTGTTTATATTTATATATGCAAAAATCTCTTCAGAGCAGTAATTGGGAATTAGGGTAACAGACCATATGCAAAGAACATCGTCTTCTTTTTAGTAAATTTGGCTTACCTCCTCCAAATTGAATTTTCCTTAACTACAATCCATCACTTTTTGTTCCTATTAATAATTTATAAGTAAAAAAACTCATGACTAGAATCCACCTCATTAAGTTACCTTATGAAGCTCAAGATTTGGTTTATTGTAGTTTTCTGATTCCCAAAATACCCCTACGTAATTGCAATTGTTGTTTCCTCCATTGATTGTGCTGAATATACTTTGAACATATTTGCTGCAATTCAATGTCCTTAATATTCAAAAGGTGTGTTTTTAGATAGGAAAATGGTGTTTTAAATTGACTTAAATTTAGGAATTTTTAAGGTAAGTTTTTTTTCTCTTTTAAAAAAAATAATATTCAGTATCTAAAAAAGTCACGTTTAGGGCCTATTAAATTTATGAGGAAACATTAATATACCTATTATGTTTTAGCATAAAATAATGTACTTATTTTTTGTACCTATTTTTTCCGGAAACGGATCCTCTGCTCTAATTTTCTCTGCCATGAACTGCTTTACTTTTATTCTCCATACACCACCTCATTAAAATTTAATCTAAGGGATTTAAAAGTTGACACATCATCTTAAAATAAAAATCAATATAAAATATTAGAGGAAAGGGGATTCTAATACATAACTTTTAGGTGTAAGAATAAATGTTCTTAACAACTTGAGCTACCAGTTTAATCCCTTGTTACTTGATGAGCACCAAATTTCTTCTTACAAGGGAAAACACACATACATAAATCCCCCTTGCAATACCCTTGAGCTGTTGTTCCAACACTTCTGGCATATTTTTCCAAGCACAAGTCACCGCAATTTTTCTCAACGCAATTGGGCATATTCTCTACCCTCCCGCAAGCATGACCTGTATAGTCCGCCACAGCCTCATCTCCTGCAGATTCAACACATTTTATGGTTTGAGTCATATCTTAAAGCAACAAAAACAGTATTATACAATGTAAAGGTTCCTAAGAAATATGTCATTTGAGAAAATTCTATGAAAAAAGAGATTAATTCTTGTACACATTTTCTTCTTTGACAATATTATGCCTCTTTAGCAGCAAGAAGTTTGTTTAATATGAAACCTCGACCACACATTTTGTCTAGAATTAATCTAGTTAATCGATGATCTAGATTCATAGTCTAGCAATATAAATATTTTATATTGCGAGACACTGACAAGAAAACATTTCCATGTTTCGAACAAAAAAAAAAGAAAAAGTATTTCCATGTATATAAATATAGCATGAAGAAGCATTATTTACCAATAGTACTGAAGAAGAGAACCAACAGAAGCATGGAAGAGACGTGGAGGCTCTTCATGGTTTTATCTCTCTAGCTATTTTGAAGAATTTGGATTATGCATATATCTGAGGGAGGCGATCTTGTTTATATTTATATATGCAAAAATCTCTTCAGAGCAGTAATTGGGAATTAGGGTAACGAACCATATATAAAGAACATCGTTTTTTTTCCCTTTTAATTTTTTTTTTGTCAACCGAGTCCATTAGTGTATAGGCAATATGAATCTTAATGCTCATTTATATTTGTTTACGGTTTCGAGTTGAAAATAATTCTT